TCTTTTAATCTGCAGCCAGCAGAAGACGATGGCCAGCAGTCATACTGCACCGTCTTCTGCCGAGCACTCAGGTGATGACGCTGGCTACCGGTCGTACTGCACAGTCTGCTGCCAGCAAGATGTATAAAGATAGAGGAAGTGGATCAAAACAAGAAATAGACCAGATTTGTTTTGTATTCATTTTTGCCACCCTCCCTCCGTGAAATCAACAGCCTGCTAAACCCAGTTTTGAGTTCTACCCTTGAGGGGGCCATTTTGTTTCTTGCAAAGCTACCCCTTTTGTTGATTTTAATTCCCTGTAAGCCATGTTGTCAGTTGCCCCTCCCTCTGCCAGAGCAACGGCAAACAATTGTTTTGCCCCCTTTTCCCTGGATTGCCCCAGCAGGAGCAGATGCCATAGCACAGCAAGCATGGAGCCCGTTCAGCTCAGTCCAGCAGTTATGACCATTGTAAACACCTCACGCATTATCATGCAGTGTATGCAGAACCAGCACCTGAAAAACCAGGCGAGGAGGCGACAGCAGCACGTTGATGGGGCCCTGAACACACTTTTCTCTAAAACCGCTTTCCCCTGCAATTTGGAGATCATGGTGTTAATGGGGCAGGCTCATGCCATGGAACGCTGATTCTGGGCCCGGGGAACAAGCACAGACTGGTGGGACTGCATAGTGTTGCAGGTCTGGGATGAATTCCCAGTGGCTCCAAAACTTTCCTATGCGTAAGGGAACTTTCATGGAACTTTGTGACTTGCTTTCCCCTGCCCTGAAGTGCATGAATACCAAGATGAGAGCAGCCCTCACAGTTCACAAGCGAGTGACAATAGCCCTGTGGAAGCTTGCAACGCCAGACAGCTACCGGTCAGTCGGAAATCAATTTGGAGTGGGCAAATCTACTGTGGGGGTTGCTGTGATGCAAGTAGCTAGCGCAATCGCTGAGCTGCTGCTATCAAAAGGTAGTGACTCTGGGAAATGTGTAGGTCATACTAGATGGCTTTGCTGCAATGGGATTCCCCAACTGTGGTGGGGCTATAGACGGAACGTATATCCCTATCTTGGGACTGGAGCACCAGGACAGCCAGTACATAAACCGCAAGGGGTACTTTTCAATGGTTCTGCAAGCACTGGTGGATCACAAGGGATGTTTCACCAACATCAACATGGGATGGCCGGGAAAGGTTTGTGATGTCAGACCTCAGCGAAATCAACATTCCCATTGTTATTGCTGCTTGTTGTGTGCTCCACAATCTTTGTGAGAGTAAGGGGGAGATGTTTATGGCGGGGTGGGAGGTTGATGCAAATTGCCTGGCCACTGAATACGCACAGCCAGACACTGGGGCGGTTAGAAGAGCACAGCAGGAAGCAGTGCGCATCAGAGAAGCTTTGAAAACCAGTTTCATGACTGGCCAGGGTACTGTGTGACACTTGTTTTGTTTCTCCTTGATGAAAACCCACCCCCTTGATTGACTCTAATTCCCTGTAAGCCACCCACCCTCCCACCTTCAATCACAGCTTGCTTGCAAAGGAAATAAAGTCACTATCATTTAAAAAACATGTATTCTTTATTAATTGATTATAAAAATAGGGAGATAACTCACAAGGTAGCCCAGGTGGGGTGCGGGAGGAGGGTAGGAGGGAAGCAAAAGGCCACTTTAAAACTTGTTGAATGACAGCCTTCTGTTGCTTGGGCTGTCCACTGGGGTGGAGTGGTTGGATGCCCGGAGTCTCCCACCCCGTATTCTTGGGCGTCTGGGTGGGGAGGCTGTGGAACTTGGGGAGGAGGGAGGGCGGTTAAGCAGGGGCTGCAGCGGCAGTCTGTGATCCTGCTGCCGTTCATGAACCTCCACCAGATGCCGGAGCATGTCCGTTTGATCCCGCAGTATCCCCAGCATTTCCTCATGCCTCCTCTGATTTTCCTGCCGCCACCTCTCCTCACGTTCATTGGCCACCGTCCTGTACTCTGCTATTGTGTCCCTCCACACAGCTCTGTCAGTGCTGGACGACTGCATGAGGTCAGAGAACATGTCATTGCACGTGTGTTTTTTTCGCCACCTTATCTGAGAACCTCTGGGATGGAGGAGGGGGGCTTGAAACATTTGCAGGTGCTAGAGGAAAAAAAGGGAATGAAGTATTTAAAAAGATACATTTTACAGAACAATGCTATACTCTTTCATGGTGAACAACACTATTCACATTACATAGCACATGAGATTTTGGTACAAGCTCGCATTTTGCATCTTATATTGAGTGCCTGCGGCTTTGGTGTTAGATCACACACGCAGGGCCGGGCAACAGAATTCGGCTTACAGGGGCCCATGGTAAGCCATAGTCTTCCAGCTTCTGCAACCTTCATAACAGCAGCCCCCCTCCTTTCCCATACCAAGCAAAGCCCGTTGAGCCCATTTACTGCTGCAGTTTTCCTGTTAACGTGCAGCAGCAGAAACCAAACTAACGCCCTCCCCCCATCCAATTCTCTGGGATCATCACTTTTCCCATCCCCCCACCGCGTGGCTGGTATCAGGGAAGATCCCTGCTAGCCAAACGCGAACAGCTCAGCTCCAGTGGCCCTCCCTCCCCCACTGCGTGGCTAACTGTGGGGAGGATTTCTTTTTAGCCACAGGCAAACAGCCCAGTAGGAACGGTCACCTCAATGTCCCCTTAATGAAATTCCCCTATTTCAACCCGGTTACCATGAACAATATCACTCTCCTAAGGATAACACAGAGATAAAGAACAGATGTTGCTTGAATGCCAGCAAACACCGGGACCATATGCTGCCAGTCTTTGTCATGCAATGATACCAGATTACTTGCTACTAGCATGGCGTGGTAAAGTGTCCTACCATGGAGGACGGAATAAGGCTGCTCTCCCCAGAAACCTTCTGTAAAGGCTTTTAGAGTACCTCCAGGAGAGCTTCATGGAGATGTCCCTGGAAGATTTCCGCTCCATCCCCAGACACATTAACAGACTTTTCCAGTAGCAGTACTGGCCACGAATGCATGCCAAGTCCTCAGGGCTACTTAATCATTAAAAGACGCTTGCTTTTATAACATGTATTATATTTAAAAGGGTACACTCACCAGAGGTCCCTTCTCCGGCTTCATTGGGTTGGGAGGGTATTTCAGTAAGAGTGATAAAAAGATCCTGGCTGTTGGGGAAAACGGTGTGCTGTGTGCTCTCCCCAAGCTCGTCGTCCTTCTCAACTTCCCCATGTGCAAAATCTTCAGCCATGGCGGAGAGTATCCCATCCTCTGAGTCCACGGACAGGGGTGGGGTAGTGGTGGTGGGCCCCCCTAGAATTGCATGCAGCTCAGCATAGAAGCGGCATGTCTGGGGCTCTGTCCCGGAGCGTCCGTTTCATTCTTTGGTTTTCTGGTACGCTTGTCTGAGCTCCTTAAGTTTCACACGGCACTGTGTTGCGTCCCTGATTGTAGCCTCTGTCCCTCATGGCCTCTGAGATTTTTTGAAATGTTTTGGCATTTCGTCTTTTGGAACGTAGTTCTGATAGCATGGATTCCTCTCCCCATACAGCGATCAGATCCAGTACCTCCCGTTCGGTCCATGCTGGAGCTCTTTTTCGATTCTGGGACTGCATGGTCACCTGTGCTGATGAGCTCGCCTGGCCAAACAGGAAATGAGATTCAAAAGTTCCCGGGGCTTTTCCTGTACACCTGGCCAGTGCATCTGAGTTCAGAGTGCTGTTCAGAGCAGTCACAATGGTGCACTGTGGGATAGCTCCCGGAGGCCAATACCTTTGAATTGCGTCCACACTAACCCTAATTCGAAACGGCGATGTCGATTTCAGCGCTAATCCCCTCACTGGGGAGGAGTACAGAAATTGGTTTTAAGAGCCCTTTATGTCAAAAAAATGGCTTCGTTGTTTGGACGGGTGCAGGGTTAATTTGGAATTAATGCTGCTAAATCCGACAAACTCATAGTATAGACCAGGCCTTAGTAGGTAGAAAAGTGTAGGTGGCAAGAGAAACTTAAATTGCTCATTCTCAAGAAGGGGACCACGTTTTAATTAAGTTTGAGTTGGGTTGATGGCCTTGAAGTATTTGACATGCCAGATATTTTTCATGGTTTTTAAATCTTCCATTGTTAGTATTGATGGAAATATGTTAATTAGCCTGACAGCTTAACTGTGTATTTTAATACATCATTTGGACTCCTTTTTTGACATGCTGAGTGAATAATCAGCTCAATAAATGTTGCCATTTCATTTTTTTCTGTATTATCCGATTGGTTTTATGCTTTAAAAAAGAAAGTAAAGGTTAGAGATACAGAATTTTGTTTGGGGGGTGCATGGTCACAAACCAAATATGGGTGTAGAACATCAGTTTCCTTCCAAGGAAACCTTTTTTCTTCCTTTTCCTTGTCAGTGTAGAGGAGCGGTTGTCCTCACATGAAAATTAATTTCTATTCACTCTGACAGCAGAAATTGGTGTGATAAGAGAATATCAAAATTGTGTTGTAGATATATGATGCTGGTCCAGTTGCTTTCTGCTCACTTTGAACTGTCTTCTGTTGATATCTGCAGCTGAGAATCAGCAGACAGATGGAGTAAATCTGAAAGTTACACTGACACATGTGAGCAGAGCAAGTAGAAAAGCTGCAGAGCATCTCATAGTGAATGTAACATCCAATTATAGAACACTTAATCTGGAAATCTTGCCACAAAAATTGAGTAAATTCCCATTTGGAACAAAATTGCAATCTTTTCTAATGAGTTTTTATATAACTTTTCTTTCTCTCCAGTGTGCAGACTGATGAAAGAATAGAAACAATAGAATACTGACATTAGAACTCATTTTTGTTAATAAATCCAGATACAAATTGCCTGAAAATACTGAAGGCTCGCCAATGTGGCCTTTTAAATAGTTAGCAGATATTTTGTTCTGAAGTGTCTTTTATTTGGTGCCATAGTGTTTAATTCTTTTTATTTACTCAATTTTTTACACTTGTCATGTAAATTTGTTTAATCTTTTGCCTTCAACTCTGTAGGTGGCCTAGAACATTGGCAGGCATTACTGCATACCTACTGTGTACTCGTTACTCTGCTGGCAGTGGGATATATCCTGGCAACTCTCAGGATGAGAGAAGAGCTTGGCGCAGATGTGACAGAGGAGGATTCTGGGCAGAAGAGGACTATTCTCGGTGCCAATATGCAAATGATGTTACTCGAGTCCTGTATATGTTTAATCAGGTAATTTGTACTTCTCTATCTTTTGTGAAACTATTTTAAAATAACTTAAATCAAGATCTTCAATGAAAATAAGATTTTGAAAATTTGCCTCTCCACTGCAATAGAGCTACGACTTTGTCACGGAAGTCACAGAATCCGTGACTTGAGCTTCCGGCGCCTGGGAGTTGGAGGGCCCCACCACCCTTGGTGTCTGGGAACTGCAGGAGCCTGAGCGCCCAGCTGCAACGGGGCCGCCCCGCAGTCCCAGCTGCAGCGGTGGTGGGGGGACCCTCCAACTCAGAGCCTGCAGCTCCCCATTTTGTCATGCGTATTTTTAATAAAAAAGTCACGGATAGGTCATGAGCTTCCGTGAATTTTTCTTTATTGCCCGTGACCTGTCCATGACTTTTATTAAAAATATGCATGACAAAGTCTTAGCCTTCGTTAAAGTATCTAGTGTTCACTGGATCAATGTATACACCATTTGTTATCTGATCATGTCTCTTTATTAGCATTTCACAGCTCAGAACCTAACACTGGAACCTGTGGGATTACACAAGAATTTGGTTTAGCTTTCCTTTCAGAGGCCACCGGATATTTTAGTGAATTGGAGAATTCGGACAACCTCTGTAATGGGGTGCACTCACCTCTCACGGGCGCCCCGGTCATCAAGTGTGTGCATGCTGCAGTTTTTTCCTCAATTTCCTCCACTAGTTGTCCTCTGTCGGCCGCTGCACTCCTCAGGCAGGTCTTCGGTGACTCAGTCCTCCGTCTGAGTTATGGACAGTCCATATGCCAAATTAAACAAACTTCTTCTGGGGTACATAATTCAAAATGTCCCCAATGTCCTGTAGCCCTCCCTGGGCTCAGTCTTTACCCAGTTCGAAAGGGCCTATCCTGGTACCCTTGGTTGGTGTGTCCTCCTCTGCAGCCCTCCCTGGGTTCAGTTTTTAACTAGTCCAACAGTGCCTGTCACGGTACCCTGGCTTGGTCTGGGTAGGGTGCAAGGCTCCTACTCGAGACTTGAGCAGAAGCCTGAGGGCATCTTACCTAGGGACTCATTACTTCTCTTAGAGACCTCAGTGACCCTAGCCTTCTTGCTGAGCCCGCAGTTCGCTGACCACCAGCTCCCCACTGAGTCAGTCTCAGTGCAGCCCCCTTCTCTGGGGTGCCAAAGTTCTAATTCTCTTCCTTAGGGCATAGCCACTTCCTCCCAGTGGCTGGTGGGGGGGAACTGGTCCCACACACTGCGTCGCATCCCAACCCAGGGACCCTTGCATAGTGTAGCAGCCTTGCACTATGTCCCTTTACTAATGGCTGCTCTACATTTCCGTGGCCCACTTCCCATAGCCCATTTTAGTTGAGTCCCAGCAACAAGCCAGAAGCTCCTTCCTCGCTCCCCCGGTCCCTGCCAATAACTAGTCCCGACAGCCAGCCAGGAGCTATTCTTGGGCTCCCCCGGTCCCTGCCAGCAACTGATCTGTCCATCCCTTTCAGCTCCTGCAGCCAGCCAAGGAGCACCTCTTACTCCCCCAGTCCCTACCAGCAGACTGAACTCATGCTGGCCCTGCACCTCCTTTTATAGGGTCCTGCTGAGTCCTGATTGGCTGCTCCCTGCAGCCTCTCTCATTGGCTGCCTCCCCTGAAGCCACTCTAGCCCACTTGGAGGACCTCTCTACTGCTCCTTTCCTGGGATGGGTGTTGAAGGAACCTGAGGCCTCTGGGCCTAGTCCACCCCGTCTCAACCTCAAACACCCTCCCCAAAATGTAAAAGGTTACTCTAGCTGTCTAGTATAGCACTGGGTCAGACTTACTGAATTCTGAGCTGTTCTTGTCTCCAATTTAATCACACAGACTCTTGGAACATCACTTTGTTATAGACACAGTTTATTGATTCTGTAAATCATTAATATTTATTTACAAATGCAGATACACTTTAAAAATAGAGATATTAATCATACTTAAAAATATACCATACATTTTTTTACCCTAAAGTTTTTGTGTTTTGAGACCATTTCAGGCTCTGTCTAGATTGTAGTGCTTTGTTCTTTGCTATTTGAGTTGATTTGACAATTACTTTGAGTTAACTAACTCTATTGTAAATGTAATTGTAGGTGCTCTGCATGATGAACCATAAATGTTTGTGAAGTGTCACTCACATTAGTTAAATGACAGTCATTCACCCAAAAACTGGGGCTCTGGGTTTGAAAAACAGTGGTGAGTAGCTACAGCAATCAGGAATTTGCAACCTCTAATCAGGGCCTAATATGGTTCTCTTTATGCCCACTCTCACTCACCAATGTTTTGTAAGAATGTTGTAACAGATTATGCCTAATACTTGAAAAGAATTTCAAAACATCAGTGCATAGAATATTGAAATGGACTAATACTCCCTTTGGTGAATTATGAACATTTACAGATGGAAAAGCTGGAAATCTGACATAAGTATAGACTTAAGTTTCAGTAGTCCACTGGAAATTAAACGTTAAGTAATATGAAAATGATCCAGGATGTGGTCAGCCTTAAATCTTATTTCACTTAATCCTGTTTATTCTTTGTCCCAGAAATATTCCATTAAAGAAAATGAACAAAAAGTGAAAAAGAAAAGAAGGAAAAGCCTTCCTAAAAATATAGAAGAAACTTTAATTTTGAAACAACTTGCAAATTAATGCTGGATGAAAGAATTACACACACATAGCACTGGATCCTCTCAAGTCTAAATGTGCATTTACTTTTAACAAGTAAATAAACCTACAAGGTTCATTTCTTTGCATGTTTCTCAAACCCAGAATCACTCATAATTGAAACCTCATCCAAATAAATTACTGAATTTACCTGGGAGTTGCAGTCAGCCATGGGTCTCTTATGTGGGTGTTTATAAATGAAACACTTTCCTGAAAATTCTGAATAAATTTCCATTAACCATTAAAAGCAAACAGCAAGGAGAGAGAGCCTTAACCGTAATCTTCTACAAATATTACTATATGATACACGTGCAGAATCAGTAACCATAATTCAATGGTGTTGCCAATACGACATGGTATTAGAAAATTAGCACCAAAACACCACCTGGAATTCAGGACATCTGGGTTCAAGTCCTTGTTCTACCTCAGACTTTCGGTGTATAACTTCGGAAAAAATGACTTAATAGCTGTATGCCTTCGTTCCCCATCTGTAACATGGGGATGATAACGCTCCTTTCTCTCACTCTTTGTGTTACCTGTTTAGATTGTAAGCTGTAAGGGTTTAGATTGTCCCAGACTGTATTTTTACAATGTCTAGAATACTGGGGCGCCAATTCTGGTAGATGGGCCTTTAGGGAGCTACCATTATAGAAACAAATAATGGACCTAACAAGTTGACCCTTTTATTTTTTGGCAGACATAGGTCAAGAAGGAATTGACTAGAAGTTCCCAGGACAGCAACTAAATTAAGTGGGTGGAACATGTCTGTGATTAGGGAGCTTCACTTATATTCCATCCTACTGCTACTGCTCTTTGGGGGGCAATATTTTTTTCATAGTTAGGGAGAGTTCTGTGAGTCTCATGTTAGAAAACTGAAACCCAAGGTGAAAATCCAGTCAGGAATATTTTAAGAGAAGCAGGATTACTGGTCTAATTTTTCCATATTTAAATGTATAATTATTTCTCTGCTCTGTCAAAATTGTAAGGAATGTTCAAAAATGTTACCTTAATATTGAGCTCTGTGATTTAATTATTCCTTTAGAAGAAGTAATCTGAAAATTATCATCTTTTTCTGTGTAACAAAATTTTAGGTAGGTCAGCAAAACTTTAGTAATTTTTTGCACAGAAAACATTTGGATCTCCCAAAAATTTTCAGTGCTAGATTAAATAGTTTTGGGGCCCTGTGCACTATGGAAATTGGGCCTTCCCCACACCTTCACTCAAACTTGGCCCGGCTGCCCCCACCATGACAGAGGGGAGAATGGGGTACACCTGTGCATCACTGTGACCCCAGTCTAATTCTTCTGCAACTGCTGTCCACCCTGCACAGCATTAAGAGGGGCCACTTAGCAAAGCACCCTCTCTCCAGACATTCACTATTCAGAAACAAATGCCTCTCATCCCACATGTATCCCAGCAATCCTCCACCAGCTCCCACTTACGCTGAGATTCCCCAGACACATCCCAGGAGACCTGACACATATCCCACTCACCACAGCCCCGAGTGCCTCCCAACATCCTGGCCACTCACCAGCATCTTCACTCCACTCCCACCCCGTGGTAGGGCAGCTCCTCCTGATTTTGGCCACCCAAAATGCCAGGTTGCAAAACCACTCAAATTTGGCCCCGTCATCATTCTTCCCTTACCCCCTGCCATCATGATGGAGGGACAGCCGAACCAAATCTGAGTGGCATTGCAGGAACTCAGGTTTGGCCTTTCCCAACACCACCCACAGAAATCAGTTGGTTGGGGGGCCCCCTGACATGGTAAATCCAGGCCCAAAGATTTGTTTTGCTAGACTGTTTTTGTCTTTATTTAGGGACTAGGTATATTATCTTTTTAATACCTGGTAGTTTAAATTAAATATTGGTCTGGATCCGAAATGGAAGGAAACACTGAATAAAATGGAACGTCCAGATGTGACTGCTACGGTTAATTTTGTGTTAAAGGGAATTCTTCATTACCTTAAGAAAAAATTACGGAAATATTGCTTAATCCAGACAGATTGATATACATTGTACTGTGACTTGCATATCATGAATGTGACCTTTTAATGTAAAAATGAATTCGCTGGTTTAAAAAAAGAAAAGTGCAGAGAGATTATATGCAGTATTTGAACTCTGAAACTTGATTTTTGTTAATGATGCATTATGGCTGCTGAACTAATATACGCTAGGGATATCAATCATTGTTTTCTAAAGCCATGCTTCCAAATCTACTGGTGCAGGCACCGATGCTGCAAAGAGAACCATGCAGGTGAGACCCTGTGCAGTGCCACAGGAAGTCCATAGGACTCTGGGAGGATGCAGGAGTCTGCCTGCCTGGTTTTTGTTGCAGGAGTGGGACACTGAACTTTTCTTATATTTTAGGGAGAGCCTCTCATTAATTTCAAGTACATTTTCTATTTTAAATATGTCAATAGATATTGTGGCTGTAGTGTGTGTAGCTTTCTCTTAGCTTGTCTAGCTATGAAACATACTTTTCATGCTCTAGGAATTTTGGAAAACAATTTTATCTATATACACAGGAAATAGATGTGCAAAGGAAGAGAAATTTATTAATTGTACTTTATTTAAAAAATTAAGGTTTTGTTTTTGTTTTACAATAGTCTCAAATTTGAAACACTTAGGCATTCTCCTAAATTGTATTTAGATTTAAATGTTCCTTTTTTTGGTGCTCATATTTGTTCTTTATATAGATGCCACTCAACCTTACTAATGCAGTTGCAACAGCAAGACAGCTTTTGGCTTACACTGTTGAAGCAGCAAATTTTTCTGATAAGATGGATGTTATTTTTGTGGCTGAAATGATAGAAAAATTTGGAAGATTTGCTGAAAAGTACAAAGAGGTACCTCTAATATTTGATACCATTTTCAAGATAACTGGTGAAATATTTGCCTTATTAAAAATACCTGTTTTAAATAATAAAACCTTCTAAACCTTAGGTTGAGGAGCTCAAATTTCAGGTTCTATTCCATTTTTTTCTTTGTTTAGTAGGTTCCTGAAGTTGCTGACCCATGGTCAAAGACTTTGTATTCATGCTGAGATCCTCCAGCATTCACTGGACCTGTAATGTCTCTGGTCAGCAATGGAGCAGGGAGATAGGTACAGTACGTCTGGTTTTATTTAGTATAGAGTGGGTCACCCAGGTTTTCATTAGAATGATTTTATATAAAAAGCTGAATAATGAAAACCTCAGAGATCCTCTCAGTAATGAATAAAACAAGACTTATCTTTTTCCCCCCATGATAGCCTGGCTTTATTCAATATTGAGGTGTATCTCTAAGGTTTTTCAGTCATCTTATATCTTATGGGATATAAGACATTAAAATAATATCTTAGAGAGTGTTTATTGTTGAGGGGGAGTGGATAGAAACTCCTTTTCACTGCTGAACAGTGGTTTTGATCTCACTATTCAGTGCATATTGGAAAGTTGGAGAGCATAGTGCAATAATTTGGAACTTGGCCAAAAAAACATGCCCACCCCATGCAAACATGAACAAATAATGTAGTATAAAAATTCACAATAAACTCTTTGGAGGATTTTCACATTACAGTTCCCTTTTAAATACATAGCTCAGTTAATTTGTCCTAAATTTAATGTTTCTATATGTTTGTGAAATAATTAAAAAAATAATTTATTAAATGATTGTTTTTAGTACCTAACCTAAAATATGGATTGCTGCGTGATTTAATATATTATAAGGGTATTGTTTTCTCAGCAATGATTTGTCAATCTGTTGTCACTCTGCCACTACTTGAAGGTAATAAAAGCGATAAAACTGTCAATGTTAAATTCATTCATAGTGTTTTTAATAGTAGCTGAAGTTCCTCAGTTTCTCTGTAGATGATGTATTGTTCTTTTTGTTTTTTTAACCATATTTAGTGAAACCTGTTTGATTTGTTGGTATGTTGGAAAGTTGCAAGTGATAGGCCATTCTCTAGCATGAATAGCCAATACATTTAATAATCTTCCTTTAGTCTAAATAAAAATAAAGTTTTAAATTAATCACTACACATTGCTTTCCTGGAATTAATTAAAATTTAGAGCTGGTAAATATATGAAATATGTTTTCAAGTGGCTTTTCATTGTGCAGTTTGAATAGTCTGAAAGATGTAGAATACATGAATTGTAACCTTAATAGCTTCCTCAGTGTCAGGTGTCCACTAGAAAAAACAAACATTCGGGGAGTGGGGGGTCTGTGTCAGACTATTCCACATTAGAAAATGAAAAAAACTATAAGATGTCATCGCGGCTTAGAAACATTTTAAGAAAATTCTTGATGACATTGACGAAAGAGTGGGCGAGTGTGACTTGATAATAAGTTCATGATTTATGCAGAGAGAATCAATTAAGTTTGATTCCTATAATTTTAGGAATTTCTTGTTGACTTTTACGATAAATTATCAGTTTAACCAACAGACTTATAAGAAGTTGTATGTTTTATAATTAAATTAATAAGCATTTTATCCATTTGCCTTAGTTTTGATTTATTTCAGAAATATTTATTAAATAAGGGCCTGATCCTGCAAAGTATTGAGTGCCGCCCTCTCTCTGTTGACTTCACTGACAGTTGAGGGTGCTCAGCACCTTGCAGGATCAGTCCCTAGCAGAGCAGTGGAAAAGATGTGGCAAATCTTCACTTCCAGGTATGGACTTCCTTGTTTGAAAAGCTTAAAAATCTCACTGCTGTCTTCTTACCTGCTATTGTTAAAAAGTAACACCCCAGATTACAGTAACTGAATGAGGTCAGGTTTTTTTGTTTTGGTCATCTGACAGCATTCGTATATAGTCTGTGTCACGTTTTGCTCTGTATGAGGCACTGATCCTGTAAAATCTTACAGATGTCCTTCACTTCATAGAGCTGTTGTCAGTGCTCACAGTTAAGAATGTGCATAAATGTTTGCAGGCTTGGGGTCTAACTTAGGAAATTTCCAGGGTCGGGGGTAGAGGAGAGAGGAAGGTTGTGGCAAAAGAGGGAAAAAAAGAAAAACTTAAATTTCCAGAATTGACAGTGTCTGGTTATCAGAAGTACCACCAAAAACTACTTTTAACTATTGAATAGATTAACGTTGAAGTTGATGGTAGCCCTCTTAAATGTCTCATGCTCTTTTGCTTTTGGAGTATAGTAAATTTAACTGACAGAAGGGGAAAACAAAATATATTGTCTTAACAGTAATATTACAGTGAGGTAAATATCTGACTCTTAAAAGCCACTCCAGTAACATACCTGACAAATAATGGTTGATGTGGGAACAACTGTTTTCTTGGTTTTTTTTAAGATGCTGACAGTAGTATTAGGTTTCCAATAATTCTGGCTTGAAAATAATCTTATGCTTCTTATTGATGTGCCAAAAGATGAATGACCGAAGCTGACATGGTGTTTTCTTATTTCTGTCCCATACTAGCTTGGTGATGTGATGGTGGACATTGCAAGTAACATTATGCTAGCTGATGAACGTGTTTTGTGGATGTCACAGAGAGAGGCCAAAGCTTGCACTAGAATTGTACAATGTTTACAGAGAATTGCTATGTATCGACTAGCAAATGGAGCTCAAGTTTACTCAACAGTAAGCATAAAGTTCCATTAATTTAAAGTAAACATTTCTGGTTTATTTTGAAAAGTGAATTTTTTTTCATAGTTAATAGATTTTGACATTGTCTGATTTGTGCTTCAAGGTCTAGAATATTTGAGATTCCTAAAAGGAAAAAAAATTATTCCGACCAAATTAATCTGACAGTTATACAGAATGCTTTTCTGGTCTTTGTATAAAATTAATGTGAAGAATCCTTTGAAGATTGTTTTTATGTGGTATAAAGTTATTTATTGTCTATATGATTTTTCTTGTCACAGTACTCTCCAAATATTGCTCTGGAGGCTTACGTAATAAAGGCAACTGGCTTCACTGGGATGACATGCACTGTATTTCAGAAAGTGGCTGCATCAGACCGTACAGGACTTTCTGACTATGGGAGAAGAGATCCAGATGGAAACCTAGATAAGCAATTAAGCTTTAAGTGCAATGTTTCAAATACACTGTCAAGTTTGGCACTAAAGGTCTGATGCTCATTGTTTCTGTATTGGCTTATAAGACTTAGAGATTAATTGGTTGGAAAGTGACTTAAATTAAGTTTCCAATGTTAAAATATTCTTACTGCATTGTAATACAGAACAGTTATTTAAGAACAAGAGTAGAGAAGCTATGAGAGGAATAAAGAAGTTGGTTTTGTGTTGCTTTTGGCTAAATTACTCAAAACAATTCTTAATGGACCGGTGTCTACATTAAAAAAAAACACCACCAACACCATACTCTTAGGCTGTATCTACACTACAGAGTTTTGTTGACAAAAGTTATGCTGTTGCATGTCCACACTATGTTCTTTGTGTCGGCAGAGTGCATCCACACTGAAAGCTCTTGTATCAACACAGAGAGCAGTGCACTATGGGTAATTATCCCACTGTGCAGCTGGCCACAAGGTGCTTTGAGAAGGGTTTGCAATGCCTCATGTCTCTTTTGCCGACAGAACTGTGAAGTGTAGACAAGGCATTAGACACACACAGTATTTCAGCAGCATGGAAAGTGAATTACCTCCTGACCTCTTTTTAATGTTCAGTACATTTATTTTGGTATGCTGTCTGCATGTTACACTTAACTTTCAAGTTAAAAAAAAGTAACCTTTAAGATACGTTGACTTAACTCAAATTTTTTACTTTGACACACGTCTAAACAAGTGTGTCTCATGGTGATTGAGGACATATACATATCTAGATAAATACTGACAGTGTGAAGGAGTACAAACTAGAAAACAAGTCTGACAGATTCATTTTCCTGTATATAGGGGGAAGTACTTAACTCTGACTCCATGGAAAATCCATTTGTGATTAAATGCCAGTGCAGCTTATCAATTTGCCATTATTGCTTCATATATTGGAGCTTCACTGCAGATGTGTACTGTACCAATAACTTGTGTACAAAATTGTAGATAATGCCCAGTGCTTGAATTATGGGGGGGAAAAGTAGGAGGACCCCTTAATGAATATGAGCAGTCCTGCAGGCAATATGGAGCATGGTGCCAGGTAATCCTCTGGCTGGCCCTTGTGCTTCAATTCTATTCTCTGCTCTGTCAAGCTGAGTCTTCTCCCCTCTGCCCTAGCCTCCCACCGCCATTTCTGCCCTGCCTCTTTCCCTACCCCAACTGCCTCCTCCTCCCTTACCAATTAAATCCTGCCTTCTGCTCCAACCCCTAACTCTCCCTCCCTATCCCTCCTGCCCTGCCCTAAACTCCCTGATTTCCTTTACCTGTTACCCCACCATCTTCTGCACCTGCCTTTTCCCCCTCTCAAGCTCCCCCTGTTGCACCCATCACAGCACTTCTTCTGCCCCACTACCACTTACACCTGTCTGCCTTTTGCCCCTGCCTCCCCCCCAGTCTTCTGCACTCAACTAACAACCCCATCTTCCCTGCTCTAGTCCTGCCTCCAGCTGCACCTGACACCATCCTGCCTCCCCTAGTTCTGCACTTGCACACCATCTTGCCCTGCATCCAGTCTGATTCTCCCTCACCCCACAGAGCCCTCTCCCCGGTGTGGAATTCTTGGAAGGGGTAAGGCTGGATTTTTGCTCCCCTCATCCCCCCAGGTCCTCCTGCCGTGACAGTTCTGTCCTCATTCCCCTCTTGTAGGTCCCCCAGGTCCTCCCCCCTGCCCCGCCCATCTCTGGAAGTGGAGTGGTCGGGACCAGGCATGGCATGCATGAACCAATCTCTGCTGAGCAGCGGGCTAGGGCACCGGACAGCACCTCTCTCTTGCTGATGGGATGAAGGGGCTTCTTCAACGCAGGCATTGGAGCCTGGTATCCACCAATAAATGCCAAGCATGCTCAGTGAGACCTGCTTCCTCTGGTCATGGGATCCCTTGCCCCTGCAGTGGTGGTGCCAGGGCTGCTGATTGGTCCAGCAGCTTTCTACTCCCTTTGCAGACCCTTCCCTCTCTGTGTCTCCCCACCATAGGTTTTTGGCACTTGTTGCTGCTGCTCTCTCTGAAGCTCCTGGCCCTGCTGCTGGCCATACAGGGAAGAAGTAAGGGGGCCAAAACATGCCCCTCTGGTGCCTTTGAATAAGTCAGAAGTGAGGTAGCTCCTAAAAGTAGTAAGGGGGGCTTGGCCCTCTTAAGTCCCTCATGTAATTCAAGCACTGCTAATACCACTCCAAATGAAACAATTATAGCATTTACCTTTACATCTGCCTGTGTGCATGTCTGGCATTTGGCCTTGCCTGTCATGTCTAGCTCCCAAGAGATCTCCCAAAACATTAGGCATAGGCACTGACTCTGTGGGTGCTCCAGGGCAGAGCACCCAAAGAAAAAAATTAGTGAGTGCTTAGCACCCACTGGCAGCCAAGCTCCCGACCCCTCCCCTCAGTGCCTCGCCCACCAGTGACCCTGCTGATCAACTCCTCCACCTCCCTCCCGGTGCCTCCCACCAGCCGTGGTTCAGCTTTGCAAGAGGCACGGGGGTGGGGGAGCAGAGGAGAAGGGACAAGGTGTACTTGGGGGAGGGGACAGAACTGGGTGGGGAAGGGGCAGGGGTTTGGGGGAAGGGGTGGAGTGGAGGCGGGGGCCTGGGTCGAACAGACCTACCCCACCATGTAGAGAGACTATGACTGTAGGAACTTGTTATTAACAATTTGAGCTTTACTGGCTACCAGAAAGGTAACTATGTACTAAATCTCCCACCATCTTAAGAACGGCCATTCTGGGTCAGACCAAAAGTCCATCTAGCCCAGTATCCTGTCTTCCGACAGTGGCCAAAGCCAGGTGCCCCAGAGGGAATGAACAGGTAATCCTCAAGTGATTGCACCCTCAGCAAGTTTGCAGATGACACTAAACTGGGAGGAGTGGTAGATACGCTGGAGGGTAGGGATAGGATACAGAGGGACCTAGACAAATTGGAGGATTGGGCCAAAAGAAATCTGATGAGGTTCAACAAGGAGAAGTGCAGGGTCCTGCACTTAGGACGGAAGAATCCAATGCACAGCTACAGACTAGGGACCGTATGGCTAGGCAGCAGTTCTGCGGAAAAGGACCTAGGGGTGACAGTGGACGAGAAGCTGGATATGAGTCAGCAGTGTGCCCTTGTTGCCAAGAAGGCCAATGGCATTTTGGGATGTATAAGTAGGGGCATAACGAGCAGATCGAGGGACGTGATCATTCCCCTCTATTCGACATTGGTGAGGCCTCATCTGGAGTACTGTGTCCAGTTTTGGGCCCCACACTACAAGAAGGATGTGGATAAATTGGAGAGAGTCCAGCGAAGGGCAACAAAAATGATTAGGGGTCTGGAACACATGACTTATGAGGAGAGGCTGAGGGAGCTAGGATTGTTTAGCCTGCAGAAGAGAAGAATGAGGGGGGATTTGATAGCTGCTTTCAACTACCTGAAAGGGGGTTCCAAAGAGGATGGCTCTAGACTGTTCCCAATGGTAGCAGATGACAGGACAAGGAGTAATGGTCTCAAGTTGCAGTGGGGGAGGTTTAGATTGGATATTAGGAAAAACTTTTTCACTAAGAGGGTGGTGAAACACTGGAATGCGTTACCTAGGGAGGTGGTAGAATCTCCTTCCTTAGAGGTTTTTAAGGTCAGGCTTGACAAAGCCCTGGCTGGGGTGATTTAACTGGGAATTGGTCCTGCTTCAAGCAGGGGGTTGGACTAGATGACCTTCTGGGGTCCCTTCCAACCCTGATATTCTATGATTCTATGATCCATTCCCTATCGCTCATTCCCAGCTTCTGGCAATGATTAACAAATAATTCCATGTTAAAGGGTGTTTTAAGGTTTTTAGTTAAAGCATGTTTTGGTGGATTATTGGAAGCATTACAGTCCTGAGCTCTGTATAAACTTTGTTTCCTTCAGACACTGTTGAAAGGAAAAGGAGTACTTGTGGCACCTTAGAGATTAACAGTTAGTCTCTAAGGTGCCACAAGTACTCCTTTTCTTTTTACGGATGCAGACTAACATGGCTGCTACTCTGAAACCTGTTGAAAGGAAGAAAGCCCAACACTGATGAACTGGAGGAGCTTCTAAATAAGACCAAAAAGTCCCTTTTTTGTTCAGAGATTAATACTTCTCAAAATCTGTTTGTTTATAGAACACTATTGTAGAGGCTTCTATTCAGCTGCCACCCTCCCTTTTTACACAAAAGCAGAAAAGAGAAATTAGGCCAACAAATGAGTCCATCTACAAGCTTCAACTTATTGCATTTCGCAACGGAAAACTTTTCCCAGCAACAGGAAATTCAACAAATCTGGCAGATGATGGGAAACGACGTACAGTAGTAACACCAGTTATTCTCACCAAGATAGGTTTGTTTTTGGTTATTATTACATTTGTATGACCTTAGAAGAATGCCAAAGCTTTAGAAACCTGATCCTTGACATTATATTCAAGAGGTGTACTAATGTTTCAATTAGCACACCTCTAAGAATCAGATATTATCCAGCATTAATATTTACAGTGTGTTTTGAAAATTAAACATTTAAACATTTTTATATAAAATCAATTCCATATTTTTTTTTTCAAATAGATGGTTTAAGCTTAGCTAATCACCACATTGCTATTAACGTGACACTGCGACGTATTGCTCATGGAGCAGATGCTGTTGCGGCACAATGGGACTTCGATCTGCTCAATGGACAGGGAGGATGGAAGTCTGATGGATGTCACATTATCTCTTCAGATGAAAACATTACCACCATTCAGTGCTACTCCCTCAGTAACTATGCAGTCTTGATGGTATGGTATTTATTAAGGTTTTTTAATTTAATCAGAAATAAAAAATGTTCAGGAAAAATATAGAGGGTAAATGTTTTGCGTTTAGTATAATAAAATATTGTGGGAGTGGGGGGTATCCTCACACAAACCAACTTCAGAACAATTTTCACTTGTTTGTATTGGTTTAGATGTTGGCATAAAGTATGGTTGAAAATGGTAGACTGGCAACACTGTAAATTTTACTGCAGAATATTTTAAAGACACAATAGGTTTTTCTTATGAAACCTTTCAGTATGGTACTATGATATATAAATCTATTCTAATGACCTAATAATTGTCAGTCTGCTTTTGTGAACTTTAGATTCCAGGTCTAACAATGACCGCCTCAAATGAAGAATAGTAGGCAGCAGAGAAAATAATAGGAATAACTTCTAGGCAACAATAGAACTTGTCAGGTTAGTTTTAGTGTCTATGGATATGAGGTTTTTGTCCATTTCCACACCCTGGCTTAGAGCCACTGAATCAATATTGGTATAAAATGCCTATTCATGATCATACTTCCTGGAAAAGTGGATGAATATATGAATATAAGAAAAAAGATTATGGTGTTTAGTTACTACACAAGTCAAAGTACAGTATTTGTTAAAGACATTCCTACAAGTATTTTGATTTGAATGTCTCCCATGTATTGAGCTCAGTAAAATTACACCAGTTCTGAAATACAGTGGCAGGAATGAAATAGTGAATTGAGGGAAGTGCTTTCCCCATAGTAGGTTATCTTTTTGTCACTGTTTGTTCCCAGAAGACCCCTTCTCCCTAACTTAGCAAACAGTTGGTATTCTTCCTAAATGTACGTCTCCCAAGATATCGGCTTTTGGGGAAAAGGCAAAGAAACATTTTGTTTCTGACAGGTAAAGTGACAGGGACTCTGCTTGTCTGCTTTCTTGTGCTGCTCCGATGGTTCCTATCACAGAGTTATAAGAGCAGACCTCTAACAAACGAAAGTATAGATTGGGATATAATATTGAGAACATCAGTATAAGAGGAAATCAGGTGAAATACTAATAATAAATAACATTTAGAAGTTACACTTGCAAAATTAAATTTCATAGAGGTAATATTATCACTATTTATTACATTTGAGATGCTACATATGGTCTTAAAAATAAGTCAAACATTCTCTCCAAATCATGTTTTGAAGGAAAAAGAATAATTTAGGATAAGTAATGCATGAAAAATGTGGTGGCTTTTTTATTATTATTTAGCAGAACAAACTGTTAAACTTAAAAAAAAATTAATAAAAGAGAAGATTAAATGGTAGAATACCAAAAAGCAGTTTTTTTTAAAGGGGGAGACTTTGTAAGATTTGGCATGATGCCATAGTGTATGAAGCCTTTTAAATGGAAGATCTCTTAAATGAAAAGTTGCTATTTTTGAACAGTTGAAGGTACTTTCATCATTACAATCCTAGAATTGGATACTCTATTCTTTTATCTTACTTTTTTACATTTAATCATCTAAAATGTAATAGACTTTTTAAAACCTGAAATATGTTATCTATGCTTGTTCAGCTTACGTTCAAGGAGGGATTTTACTTGAAGTTAAATATAATTCTGCCACCTGGAGGAAAGAAAATTAAGGAGATACACCATCTATATGTTTGCAAAATCATTAATCTTATTAGATTTCTGTATTCGCACGTAAAGATTACATGGAACATTGTTGCTATGAGTTGCATACACAAATTTAAGTTTCCACAGGAAAAAAATATTTTGGTTTAAGGTGACAAAGCTAGAAAATGACACTTAAGGATTTGAGCCTCAGTGCCTGAACACAACTTAATGAAGAAAAATTACAGTGAGCTTTGTTGTAATTTTGTATTTTGACAGTGGAGCTGGAAGAAAGTGGTGTTTCTCAATAATGAACTTGCTTGTTCAGAGACTTCTCCTTCAGCTCTAACTTTCCCTTATAGGAAGGGTGATTATGTGGTTTTTTTCTCTTAAATTAATTGTTTATTATAGTGCCGTTATTTAAGGCTTTAACATTGGACAAATATCAAAAGCTTTGATTTAGATAAGCATCAGAACTTACGATAGTTTTTCAGAACTGCCACACCATTTGAGCAATTACCTTCCCCAAGCTTAACCTTTTGATACAATTGCTCCATTTTACAACCTTTAGAAATTGTAGACAGTTTACTTTCTGTTTTTCAATTAATGTTTTTTGTTTAACTACTTTTTAGTTGTGAAGACTGTAAGACACGCAAGTAATATTCGTGCCGTTATCTGAATCCCAGTACTTTGCATTTCTACTTGCAAGATTATGGGATGTGGTGAGATCACTGTGCTAGAGATGTATAGGGAAATATTATTTCTATTTTCTCCTGTAATCTACCTCTCTGTATGTATTTCAGAACATTACACTATATATTTTCTACATCTACACTAATTATGAGGAGAGACATAGTGCATACCCAATTCTAGCTGTTTAATGAGCTGGAGCATAAGTATGATTTTTATAGAAGTAATGTGTCGAACAAATGTTCAGTCAATTCATTAATCTGAACTAATAGTACAGGAAGCTTCATGTGGCTTGGTGAGTTCTGTGGGCTATGAAGTGCTTGCAGTGGGAGGAGCCCATAACCACTGGCCGGTTACAAGTACCCTTCAGTTTCATCTAGTTAATTCTAGTTGTACATGTCCAGAAACAAGAAGAGTCTGTCACAGATTTGCCAATAGAAACAAAACTGCCGAGAATCACGGTCTGTTGGACTTAAGACAAGATAGTACTGGCCGAGCAGTAAATCCTGCCTATGCTGTAATGATGGAGAATCAAAGTTGCAATGAAGTTCTTAGTCTGAAATGAGGTATTTTTACAGCTAAGTTTAAGACAAGAATTGGATTCTGGAATATTAGAATACTTTGGAGCACAGGGAGGCTGATAAAGATTATCACAGAAATGTAAATCTTTGGCCTAAGTGTACTTGGACTGAGTGAGATGAGATGGACTAGATGAGGCAAATTATCAGAGGAAGGTATGGTGGTTTTATAATCTGGAAGAGAAGATGACACACCAGGAAGGCACAGCCTTATTACAGATCAAGGAAGCTGCTAAAGTACTGAAGAATGGGAATCTGTAACTCTAGAATATTGACTGCATGCTTTGATGAACCGTGCAAAAAGTCAGAGGTTGTGTTATACACCAACAAATTATACCGATGAACGGATCAGGCTGTTTCTATGTAAACTTGCAGAGCATCCTTGGCAAGATCAATACTTATGATGTTGTTAACCTCATGGGAGAGCTAAATGCACAGGTTGACGGCAATAATATTGGATATGAGCGCATTATGGGCAGACATGGCATCCCAGGGCAGATTGACAATGGACAATGTTTTGTTCAGCTCTGCAGCCTAAACAGTCTTTGTATTGGGGATATACTCTTTCCATGTGAGGAAAGAGACAAACTGACATGGAGATCAAATTATGGCTTCACCCAGAAACAGCTTGATCATATTGCCATTAATATGCACTGGAGATAAATGTTGGGTGCCAGGGTGTACACGAGTGCTGAGTTCTTTTTATTGGAACAATCAAAACTAAAGAAGGTAACACCGTGTGAGGTAGAGGATATGTACGATACGAGAAAGTTAGTGGATCCAGAAGTGAAGACACATTTCAAGCTGCAGCTTAGCAATAGATCTGAATAGCTAAAAACATGGATGGTCATAGAAGAACAGTGACAATTTTTCAAAGAAGTAATTGTGAATGCTACCAGGATCACAGTAGAAGTAAGAAGATCTAAGAAAAGAATGGCTCCAACCAAATATACGGAGGCTTGTTGAAGAGAGGAAAGAATTAAGAGAATTCAGTAAGAATAAGACAGCAGCAAAAGAGCTATTCTGCAATAAGTATATGCGGACAAAGACGGAAGCTAAAAAATCAGCCAGAAGAAGTGAGAGAATGGATGGGAAATAAAGCAATAGAAGCCAAAGAGCCATACAAGAGAAGAAAGAAAAGGAGTACTAGTGGCACCTTAGAGACTAACCAGTTTATTTGAGCATAAGCTTTCGTGAGCTACAGCTCACTTCATCGGATGCATTCAGTGGAAAATACAGCAAGGAGTTTTATATACACGCAGAACATGAAAAAATGGGTGTTATCATACACACTGTAAGGAGAGTGATCACTTAAGATGAGCTATTACCAGCAGGAGAGCAGGGGAGAGAAAACCTTTTGTAGTGATAATCAAGGTGGGCCATTTCCATCAGTTAACAGGAACGTCCAAGGAGCAGTGAGGGGTGGGGGAAATAGTTTTACTTTGTGTAATGACACATCCACTCCCAGTCTCTATTCAAGCCTAAGTTAATTGTATCCAGTTTGCAAATTAATTCCAATTCAGCAGTCTCTCGTTGGAGTCTGTTTTTGAAGTCTTTTTGTTCTAATATTGCAACCTTTAGGTCTGAAATCGAGTGACCAGAGAGATTGAGGTATTCTCCGACTGGTTTATGAATGTTATAATTCTTGACATCTGATTTGTGTCCATTTATTCTTTTACGCAGAGACTGTCCAGTTTGACCTATGTACATGGCAGAGGCACATTGCTGGCACATGATGGCATATATCACATTGGTGGATGTGCAGGTGAACGAGCCTCTGATAGTGTGGCTGATGTGATTAGGCCCTATGATGGTGTCCCCTGAATAGATATGTGGGCACAGTTGGCAACGGGCTTTGTTGCAAGGATAGGTTCCTGGGTTAGTGGTTCTGTTGTGTGGTGTGTGGTTGCTGGTGAGTATTTGCTTTAGGTTGGGGGACTGTCTGTAAGCAAGGACTGGCCTGTCTTCCAAGATTTGTGAGAGTGATGGGTCGTCCTTCAGGATAGGTTGTAGATCCTTGATGATGCGTTGGAGAGGTTTTAGTTGGGGGCTGAAGGTGAAGGCTAATGGTGTTCTGTTATTATCTTTGTTTGGCCTGTCCTGTTCTGGGTACTCTTCTGGCTCTGTCAATTTGTTTCTTCAC